ATAAAAAGAAGCGAATTAGCTATTAAAACGTCCCGCCCGATGAGGGTCGTTTAGTATAATTCCCTTGGGCGCCGCTCGATGAGGGTCATTTAGTAAAATTCCCGAGGGCCGAAGGCCCGAGGGAATTTTACTAAATGACCCGAACTAATTCTACCTGACATGACGTAAAAGCGGGTAGGATTAGAAAAAATGAATATAATGAGGTGTATTAGTTATTAATTGCCCTGCGAGAACAAAGGGAATACCTGCAATCATGATATTATTATTTCAATTCAAACTGTTTACGTCTGTCAACCATTATATAGCGATTGCACGTCAATTCCGCCTTCTCGCTGCATGGGCGCGAGTGGCGGCCATTTTGAATTTGGAGGTTTGTTTTGTTTGTTTATTGAATGAAGTGTCAAACTAAAAAATGTATAAAGTTATACTTCTGTATTTGTTTGTAACAATCGATCGTTGAAGTTTGTGTATAATATAAATATTAATACACTGTTCCTGCCATGTTAAATATGGCGAAAATATAGTAAATGTCTGCATAACAGTTAACTGTACAATTCTGCAGTTCTACAGTACAGTTGACACAGTTGCCTGCTACGGGCGACGTCACTCACTACATGTAATTATTTATTCCTTACGACTGTATTACAACAATGGGGATTAGGACGACCCAACCACAGAATAGCGACTATACAGAAGCCCAATTTCCTGTTTTTTTCTATGATTTTGGCGTAACCGAATACTTCTTCATCAAAATGCTGACGCCATTTTCCTAGTCAGTGCGCTTAGAAGAGGCATTCACCCATGGAGATTATAAAAAACACTAGAGGAGGCATCGAGGGTGAAATTTGGGAGCGCGGTAATGGGGGGCAAATTGACATCCCGGACGAACACCGCACAATTAATGGGTTACACTACTTACACTTAAAAACAGAAAATTTTAAGACGTAAAGTGTGTTTTATATGTTTTGCATGTCATCACTACAAACATTTCCCAAAAGTTTTGAATTCAAACGATTAAAAGTACCAGGTAAAACATGAGCAGCCGATCTTTATCTGATATACAAATTCGAGCCGATGATCGGATGCGAATGTTTTAACTCCACATATATAGTGGAATAATTGCAATTATTGCAGCCAGCACTAAAAACAGACAAATCTTTGTTTCCAGCTGTTATGGTAGATTGCAAGTCCAGATTACGTAATCTGGACTTGCAATGTACACTCCACAACTCCACAACTCACGAACAATGCTTGTACAATGACTTACGTTCATACATTTACGTTCATACAACTTACGTTCAAGCTTGTACATACATTTGCAATTTAATACTGTTACTAATTGTAGGTTATGGAAGATTAAATAATATTGATTAATAATGATAGTCAAAGACCATCGTCTTCATACCAGTTTTTGTCACTCAGTTCTCACCATTGAAATGAATATAACTGGAACGCTACCGTAACATTAACTGCCTATCTTTTTCTCGAAGCCGCGCGTGTCTGGAGGGAAGACCACGCGTATTTATGACATTGACTGATTGAGCGCTCTTCGTATGCATGACAAGACTGGGACTGGCCTTTAAGTTTGGCTTCAAATTTCCGCTTGGAGGTAGCATTCTAGTTATATTCATTTCAATGGTACTCACCTGTTTCAGGAGAGCGCATCACGCTCATTATTGCTTGTATCAATCTGAAGAAATCCCACTTGTACGGGTAATAGTTACTGATAAGGAATATGTCTTCTTCAGCGCATGACAAATGTTTTGTCGATGTTATTATATAATCCTTAATTTTCGATAATAGGTCTTCTTCTTGCAACTGAGCATTAGGTTTCTTCGTCATGCATTCCACATCAATCTTGGTGCGAATGAGAAAGAATGACTTTTTAATGGATTTGACTTTCTTTATTATCGCAAGATCAAGTTCTGTTACCCGCAGTGACATAAAAATCAGAAATATTTCGAACTTTTCCAATTCAAGTGTTTTCCAGTAGGTTTCAAGATTAGGAAAGCTGGGTGTACCATAACCGGGTAGATCACAGAAACTGACATGTGGATTTGATGGATAGGTGTATTCGGTAGGCTCTTGCTCTGTTTCAACAATATCCACGCTCGCTGCAAGCTCGTCTTCATCGTCAACGCTAAGGAGTAATAAATAAATGTAGGCTACTGATTAACTGCACAACTTAACCATAATGGATGGAAATTCCTCATATTCCTTATTCCCCTGTATTTGAGTAAAATGTATTAACAATAACAAAAGCCCTCAATGCATAAGTTATGCATAGCGCTAGCATCGGCAAGGCATGTCATAAATTAAGTCCAAGCTTTCATGTAGGTCTATCTCTTCTTCCCATGTCTATATATGTATATATATATATATATATATATATATATATATATATATATATATATATATATATATATATATATATATATATATATATATATATATATATATATATATATATATATATATATATATATATA